AAAAGTCAGGACCAGACAGTGGCACAGAGGAATTCTACCAAACATATAAACAAGAGCTAATACACATCCTTCTCAAACTATTCCAAAAAACTGAAGACAGAACACTCCCAAATTCATTCTGCAAGGCCACCATCACCCTGACACTAGAACCAGACAAAGACAATACAAAAAAAGAAAATTACAGGCCAGTATCTTTGATGAATATAGATGCAAAAATTCCCAACAAAGTATTAGCAAACTGAATACAACAATATATAAAAGGATCATATACCATGATCAAGTGGGATTTATTCCAGGGACCTAAGAATGGTTCAACATCCACAAATCAATCAATGAGATGCACCACATTAATAAAAGGAAGGATCAACATCACATGATCATCTCAATACACACAGAAAAAGCATTTGACAAAGTGCAACATGCATTCATGATCTCTCATCAAAGTTGCAGCAGATAGAATATATCTCAACATAATAAAGGCCATTACAACAAACCCACAGCTAACATCACACTCAATGATGAAAAGCTAAGAGCTTTTCCTCTAAAATCAGGAAGAAGACAAGGATGCCCACTCTCACCCCTGATATTTAACATAGTACTGGAAGCCCTAGCCACAGCAATCTGACCAAAAAAAAGAAATAAAAGGTAACCAAATTGGAAGGGAAGAAGTAAAACTGTCAGTATTTTCAGAAGATATGATACTATCCATAGGAAACCCTAAAGTCTCCACCACTAAATGATTTCAGTGAAGTTACAGGTTACAAGATTAATATACAGAAGTCTGTTGCTTTTCTATACATTAATGACGAACTATCAGAAAGAGAAAGCCAAGAAAAATCCCATTTAAAATTGCATCAAAAAGAATAAAATACCTAGGAATAAACTTAACCAAGGAGGTGAAAGACCTATACTCTGAAAACTATAAAACACTGATGAAGAAAACTGAAGATGAGACAATGATACAAAGAAATGGAAAGATACCCTGTGCTCTTGGATTGGAACAATTAATATTGTTAAAATGGCCATCCTACTGGGACTTCCCTGGTGGTCCAGTGGTAAAGAATCCGCCTTACAATGCAGGGGACACGGGTTCGATCCCTGGTCAGGGAACTACGATGCCACATGCTGCAGGGCAACTACGCCCGCGCACCACAACTACTGAGCTCATGCGCCTCTACTAGAAAGCCTGTGTGCCGCAAACTACAGAGCCCACGCGCTCTGGAGCCTGCGCGCCACAACTAGAGAAGAGAAAACCCACACGCCACAACTAGAGAGAAGCCCGAGCACCGCAACGAAAAGCTCACGTGCTGCAACAAAAGATCTCACATGCCTCAACGAAGATCCTGCATGCTGCGACTAAGACACAACGCAGCCAAAAATAAATAAAATAAATTTTAAAAAATTTTTTAAAAAGCTGAAACAGCTATAAAAATAAATAAATGGCCATACTACCCAAAGCAATCTACAGATTTAATGCAATCCCTATCAAAATACCCATGACATTTTTCACATAACTACAACAAATAATCCTAAAATTTACACAGAAACACAAAAGACCCCAAATAACAAAAAAACTTAAGAAAGAAAAACAGAGCTGGCGGTATCATGCTCCCTGGCTTCAGACTATACTACAAAGCTACAGTAATCAAAATGGAATGATAGGGCTTCCCTGGTGGAACAGTGGTTGCGAGTCCGCCTGCCGATGCAGGGGACACAGGTTCGTGCCCCGGTCCGGGAAGATCCCACATGCCGCGGAGCGGCTGGGCCCGTGAGCCATGGCTGCTGAGCCTGCGCATCCAGAGCCTGTGCTCCACAACGGGAGAGGCCATAACACTAAGAGTCCCACGTACCACGTACCAGTATGGTACTGGCACAAAAACAGACACATTGATCAATAGAACAGAATAGAGAGCCCAGAAGTAAAACCACTTACTATGGTCAATTAATCTATGACAAAGGAGGCAATAATATACAATGGAAAAAAGACAGTCTCTTCAATAAGTGGTGCTGGGAAAGTTGGACAGCTACATGTAAAAGAATGAGATTAGAATATTTCCTCATATCATATACAAAAATAAACTCACATGAATTAAAGACCTAAATATAAGACCTGAAACCATACAACTCCTAGAAGAGAATATATGCAGAACATCCTTTGACATAAATCATAACAGTATTTTTTGGACCTGTCTCCTAAGGCAAAAGAAAGCTTTTGCTTGCTTTTAAGAAGCTTTTAAGAAGCTCCTAAAAGCTTCTGCACAGCAAATGAAACCACTGACAAAATAAAAAGACAACCTAGTGAATGGGAGAAAATATTTGTAAATGATATGACTGACAAGAGGTTAGTATCCAAAATATATAAACACATCATACACCTCAATATCAATAAAAACAAACATCTCAATCAAAAAATGGGCAGAAGACCTGAATAGGTATTTTTCCAAAGAAGACATACAGATGGCTAACAGGCACATGAAAAAATGCTATCACTAATTATTAGAGAAATGCAAACCAAAACAACAACAAGTGAGATATCACCTCACACCTGTCAGAATGGCTATCATCAAAAAGTCTACAAATAACAAATGTTGGCAAGGATGTGGAGAAAGGGGAACTCATACTGGTGAGAATTTAAATTGGTGCAGCCACTGTGGAAAATAGTACAGAGCTTCCTCAAAAACCTAAAAATAGAACTATCATATGACCTGGCAATTCCACTCCTGGGTATTATCCAGAAAAAAATCAAAGCACTAATTTGAAAAGATACATGCACCCCAACATTCAGAGCAGCATTATTTACAATTGGCAGGATATGGGAGCAATCTAAGTGTCCATCAAGAGACAAATGGATAAACGATACACACACGGAATATTACTCAGCCATAAGCAAAAAATGAAACACTGCCATTTGCAGCAATGTGGATGGACCTAGAGAATATTATGTTAGTGAAATAAATCAGACGGAGAAAGACACATACTGTATGATGTCATTTATTTGTGGAATCTAAACAATAAAACTAATGAATGTATATATCAAAACAGAAACAGGTTCACAGATATAGAAAACAAACTAGTGGTTACCACTGGGGAGAGGGAAGTGGGGAGGAGCATGTTAGGGGGATGGGATTAAGTTATAGAAACTATTGAATACTATGTGTAAAATAGATAAGCAACAAGGATATATTGTACAGGGAATTATAATCATGATTTTGTAATAATTTTTAATGGAGTATAATCTATAAAAATATGTATTCACTATGCTGTACACCTGAAACTAATGTAATATTGTAAATCTACTACACTTCCAAAAAAAGCACCAAGAGAAAAACAACTTATTACATACAAGAGACCCCCATAACACTATCAGCAGTATTTTCAGCAGAAACTTTGCAGTCCAGTAAGGAGTAGCACAATATATTCAAAGTGCTGAAAGAAAAAAATTTCTAACCAAGAATACTCTACCTGGCAAAGTTATCAATCAGAATTGAAAGAGAGATAGAGTTTTCCAGACAAGCAAAAGCTAATGCAGTTCATCAGCACTAAACCGGCCTTACAAGAAATGTTAAAAGGATGACTTTAAGCTCTAATTATTAAGAAGAAAACATATGAAAGTGTAATTCTCACTGATAAAGGTAAAGGTATTGCATTAATCACTTACAAAGCTAATATGAATGTTAAAAGACAAAAGTAGTAAAAGTAACGATAACTACAATAATATTAAGGGATATACAAGATGAAAGGTGTAAAATGTGACCCCCAACAACATAAAATTTTGGGGGGCAATTAAAATGTAGAGCTTTAGAATGTGTTCAAAGTTAGGTTGTTATCTACTTAAAGTAGACTGTCGTAAATACAGATTGTTAGATGTGAGAGCCTCAGGGTGACCACAAAACAAAAACCTATAGCAGACACACAAAAGATAATGAGAAAGGACTCTAAGAACAGCACTAAAGAAAGTAATCAAACCACAAGGGAGAGAGCAAGAGACGAAGAAACAGAGGAACTACAGAACAGCCAGAAACCAGTTAACAAAATGGGAATAAGTACATACCTACCAATAATAACTTTAAATTTAAATGGATTAAATTTTCCAACCAAAAGACAGAGTGGCTGATGGATTAAAAAAACAGACCCATCTATATGCTGTCTCCATTACACACAGACTGAAAGTGAAGGGATGGAAAAAGATGTTCCATGCAAATGGAAACCAAAAGAAAGCTGTGGCTGCTATCCTTATATTGGACAAAAGAGACTTTAAAGCAAAGTCTGCAATAAGAGACAAAAAGGGCATTACATAGTGATAAAGGGCTCAATCCACAACAGGATATAACATTTGTAAATATTTATGCAGCCAACATAGGAGCTCCTAAGTATATAAAGAAAATATTGACAGGCCTAGTGTAATTATATACATATAATTTTCATTAATACATATTTACATAAATACACACACATACATACACACAATGGAATACTACTCAGCCATAAAAAAGAATAAACTCTTGCCATTTGCGACAACATGGATGGACCTTGAAGGCATCGCGCTAAGTGAAGTAAGTCAGAGAAAGACAAATACAGTGATCTCACTTATGTGTGGGTCGATTGGATTTAATCACCTTTCCCAACCGGTAGCACTGTTCGATGATACACTCCTTGTATTTTTAAAGAACTAAATAAACACACTTTAATTTTAGAAAACTTGTAAAGTACAGAAAAACACAAAGAAGGGAGTCACATCTCGTCCTGCACCAGGTGCAGCAAGGGCTTCGCAGCCCATCTCCCCGGACACGTAGAGGTCACAGCTGAGCCTCACGGGAGCCCAGACATGCTGAGCGTTAACTGAAAGCAAATGAGCATGGCATCTTGGCACCCATGTTCACAGCAGCTTTGTTCACAGTAGGTAAACCATGGAAGTAACCCCAGTGTCCATCAAAGGATGAACAGATAAACAAAAAATGGAAATACATATGACCAAATATTATTCAGCCTTTAAGAGGAAGGACACTCTGACACACACTACAACATGGATGAAACTGGAGGAATTATGCTGAGTGAAATGAGCCAGTCACAAAAGGACAAATCCTGAATGATTCCATTTAAAGGAGATCACTAGAGTTGGCAAAATCATACATAGAGACAGAAAGTAGAACGCTGGGTTCCAGGGGCTGGGGGAGGGGAAATATGGGAGTTAGTGTTGAATAGAGACAGCGTTTCAATTTGGGAAGATAAAAATGTTCCCTGGATGGATGGTGGTGACGGTTCCACAACAATGTGAATGTATTTAAATGCCACCAAACTGTACACTTAAGAATGGTTAAGATGGTAAATTTTATATTACGTGTATTCTAACAATTTTTTAAATTGGGGGAAAAAAGGAAACGAGTACAAATTTCTGGTCATAAGCAGTCTAGAAATAACGCTTTGGATTCTTAGCTGATTTGTTCATCCAGGCTCCTTCCCTCTCTCTTCAGGTGCCTGTGTACAAACATCCTTTTGCACACACACACTGCCCTGTTGACCTGTGGTCTGATAACCAAGAATATGTGGAGCAACGAACCATTTTGGGGTCCGTGTATGAACGGGCCTTAAAGGTCACATGACACGTTCCCAGATTACATTAATTTCTCGACAATGCATCTAAGGATCATGCTGGTCTTAGTTTGAGGAACAGAAGGAGTAGCTGCTTTAAGCGTGGTTTGGAGCGTTCCAGGCAGAAAGGTGAGGGCAGTGAGGTCTGGGGACAAGGAATAACTTGAATGTGATGCTTCCTAACTGAATGCAGAATTCAGTACCCAAAGGAAAAGCACGGAATGAACCCCAGACCCTTGCAGCAAAGACAGGACTCATGTGCCACTCAGACTCTACAGGTTTTAAAGAACGAAGCTTTTTACACTGTCCTTGCACAAGCCCAGCTGGCACAGCGATGAGTGAGATACTATCACCCACCTTGGAAGGGCAGCCAGTGTCAGAAGAAGGTGCTCCAGCCGCCCTGGAGGTGTTCGTCCTCGCCTCTGGGCTGTGCCTCTGCTGAAGGGGTGGAGCTAGTGTCCTAGGGTTTTGGTGGAGCCGGAGACTTTAATTTTCTCTGAACCTGAAATGAGGTAAGGCCGAGGTGTCAGAGCAGGCAGGCTCCAGGGCCATGGAATCACTCACGTCCTCTCAGACAACACTTATCCTGACCTCTTCAAACAGCAGAACGCTTTCTTCAAGTAAGTTCTGGGCTGTCCAGAGCAGAATCCGTCCTCGCTGAAGCCCACGGGAAGGTCTGCTGACGTCAGGGTCGGGGGTGGAGATAGCGCCGTCACGTGCACTGCTGTTAGCAGCTTGCGATTCGCTTGGGCTTTAGGGCTGTCCAGCTTTGAAAGTGTTTCTTTCTCACGCTCCTTAACCTTTGTAGGGTGTTCGGCCCTTCCCAGGTTGAAAAACGCTGCTGGAGAATCTGAAAGTCAAACATAAGTTGCGTCAGTTTGCCGCTTCCTTCGATTTGTGGGAATCACATCAGTTTAAAGCAGCAGGCCTGTGGGATTCCTGTTACAAGGACCCCACTTTCAGGTGCTGCTTCAAGTGCTTGCAGGTGTTGCCGGCCTCTTCTCCCTCCCCTCCACCAGTGAGCAACCTCGGCTGCACTCGGGTTGATTGAGCAGCTTCCCCGTTTCTCTCTCACTGAGGTCATCTGTTATCCCACGTTAAAACATTATTTTTTAAAGACTTATCTTCATGGAGAGGTAGTGTATGCTAGAAAATAAGTCAGTAACTCCAACTTAGATCTGGCTCTGCCAACCACCGTATCATATGGCCTAAGAAAAGTCATTTACCTCTCTGGGCCGGTTTGCTCATCAGCAAGAAGCAAAGCCTAACTTATCTCTTCCACAGGATTGTCAGACTCAGGTGAGCAAACTGCAGGTACTAAGCAAATGCAAAATACATACTCTCAGAAACATTTTCTACTGAAACATCCAAAAAAAAATCACACCTATTTCTTATTGCAACTCTCAAAACTTGCCTTTAAAGAAAGCCTCATTTACCATCAAACAACGTATAAGGCACAAGGAGTATGAACCTTTGTTAAGGAAGCAGCTCAGGAAGGCACGTTTCTTAGTCGACAGGGCACAGGTGCTGGATTCGGGCTCAGGTCACACCTGAGGCAAGTCTGCTCCCTCTGGCATCACCACTGAAGTAGCTGGGAATGACGAATGGATGAGTGAGGTACCTCGTGGCTACAAGTGCCCGTCCACAACCACACTGGTCGCCATCTTCAGTGGCTGCATTGCATACTTAGCATGCCACCATTGCACGTGATCAAGAGGTTTTGAATATGTATCCTTTAAAATTAATACAAGTCAGAAAGCACCTCAGCCCCTGCTCATTTGTAAAATTCCTGTCAGGTTTTACAAATGGCGATAATGGAAACAAGAAGTTAATCAAATTGAATTAATAGTTACTTCTATTAAGCAACGCTATCAACTTAAAAACATAAGCATTCCATGTAAAAATAGTTTTGCAATTCAAATTACCAAGTTAATAACCAACACTATTCTTTGCACAGTCGTTAAAAACTTAAAAATAAATTTTATTCATAAATCAAATGCACAAATTCAGTTAATCCTAAACTAATGTTTCTTTATTACAGAACGAAGATTCAGACAGGAGTCTTGAAGACTTCTAAGGACAGTTGATGAGTTTGCGGGTATGTTGAATTATATCTCAGACATTGCTGTGATTTAAACACTAAGATATAGTGATATATTTAAATTACCAAGATATTTGGATTTTTAACTAATCTATCCAAATATTCAGATGCCAACCGAATTTGCAACAGAAAAAAAAAGCTATTTGATCTATTTACCATCTTTTCATTTCAGGTTATGATTTTGTAACTAGCACCTGGCGAGGAATCAATGTTAGGATTTAAATCTCTAGGGCAGTTCACGCTTCAGTCTGTGGCAATTTAACGCCAACTCACAGGTGGGCTCAGGTGAAAATATGAGAACGAATCAGGGGGAAGGGGCTGAAGCAATGTAAACACAGACCCAAGCCACACACGCTTGTACAAACTCCCAGAGCCTCCAGTGACGAGGGACTGAACCACTGAACTCAAAAGGTCCAACATGAAAGGCTGATTTTGACAAATTTTGGAAACCTATAGTACGTTATACAGTAATGAAGACCACATTTATCCAAAATCATGTCATCAGAGTAACTTGTTCTAGCCTCACCCTTTTCTTTTAGATTTTAGGTTTGTAGGGACTCTGCACGTCTTGTACGTGAAAGTGCACCTCCCACTTCCCTAAAGCCCCTGAAGTGAGGCAGACACACTTGATGTGTGTAACATATTCTGACAGCTTCAGATGAACTCAACAGTCAAAGCACTTCACCTTGCTTTACTGCGACTCAAGCTGCCCTTTGCATTTTTATTAGCATCTTTCTACTACTGGACATATCATCTCAATCGATATAAACTATGATAGGCAGACAGATATATATAGCACATACCCAGGAAAACCCGGTCCAAAGGTACTTTACTGCTTTAGGAAGAAAAGTCTGCAATATTATCCCGATAGTGAAATACTTATAAAATAATGTTGCTGATAATCTTAGACTATGCAAACAAATAGTGTCTTAGCAGTGAGAAACCACTACTGGAAGAATATAACATTACCAAATGTAGGTAGCAGCTTAATTTTTTAAATAAATGAATATTAAATTTTAAATCAAAGAAAATTAATCATTCTGGCACTGTCTTCCTTCACATTGCTTATCCTCATGGGCAAAAGGTCCTGACCATGCGGGGTGCATGGAGAAATGTAATGAAAGACAATCTCTTAGACTTTTATGCTAGTCTACATAGTTTGAGTTACAACCAAATGAGGTGGACTTTATATCAGAAGGCAAAAGACTCTTATGGTTACCCTCAAGAATATACTGTGTTCTGAACTCTTTGAATCCGTCTAGTCTTTTTTTTAATTGAAGTATAGTTGATTTACAACACTGTGTTAGTTTTAGGCATACAGCACAGTGACTAGGCTTTTTTGCAGATTATATTCCATTATAGGTTATTACAAGATATTGGGTGTCTAGTGTTTTTCTTGTAGACACTTTGGCAACCCTGTAGGGCAGGAATGCATTGATGCCAAACTAATAATCTATTCTTACACAAGTCATTGCAAGGAAGCAGTTAATTACTAATTAACTGTCCAGGAATTGGCAAAGACCCATTCTCTATTTCTAGTGCATTGAAAATAAAACATATTATACTGAGGCCATATCTTATGAAACACAGAAGGAATCACCTCTCCCCACCTGCCATTTTGTGAATGGAAAAACAGGCAAAGTACAGCCAGAACCGGCATAGCTTCTCAGATGGCAGAGTAAGGTTAAGTAGTTCACACCCTGAACTTCTTAAGTGTTGAGAAATTAGATTGAGGATATCATTTAATTACACTGCAACCCTCAGACATTATGGGTATTTTGATCCTGGAAATAAGATATGTTTCATTTGGACAACAGTGTACAATTCTGGGAATTCCCCGGCAGTACAGTGGCTTTCACTGCGGAGGGTGCAGGTTCAATCCCTGGTCGGGGAACTAAGATCCCACAAGCCGCGCGGCACAGCCAAAAAAAAAAAAAAGTGTGCAGTTCTAAACATATATTTAAAGATTCATTTCTAAGTGGGACTCAGATAAGAACCTGTAATCACAGTAATGTCAATCTACTTTGATTACTGAATAGATCTCATAATGAATTTACCAAGATTTTCCATTTTCGTTTTTAAAATTCTGAGTTGATTCCATGTTGTAACAATACATCTACTTTCAGTATCCCAGCTTCACCTTTAGTCATCAAATCATCTAACACAGAATGTTATGTAGAGGCCAAAAAATTGGCAATGCCAATAGCTAGGATATGGTTAGAAAATTCTACGTACTGGGTGTTGATATATGTGTATCCTGCTTACTTCTAAATTAGTGGCTTATTGGACCAAGATGGTCATTACCACCACCTGTGAAGAAAAACAAGGTCAGCAGTGAAATATAAGGCAACAAGGAAACAGGGCACCAAGAACTACTGTGATAACAATGTGAGTTCTGGTGCGAGGCTATTGATCTTCTGATTAGTTATGAGAAGGGCACTCACCTTAGAGCTGAACGTAGTGAAAAGGCCTCTGCTAACATGCCTGGAGTCATGTGACTGGAGTGGGGAGGAGCCACTGGCCCGGCTAAACTTAGGCTTCCCCAGTGAGCTTCAGAAATTCCTGCATCAGCTGCCCTCCTTCTTTTGTGTAAGTTGTCTTATTGATGTACGTAGCCACTCCAGTTAGTTATTTGAAAGCACATATAAAATCTAGACAAAATTAAATTTTAAAAATAACCAAAAATTACCTTCCCTGCAAAACGCATAATTTCTTTAAAATGATCTCATGACTTTCCCAGTGTTAAGAATTCTTAAGTCATCTTCCACAAGACAACAGCAAACTGAGGATAAATCTCCTGTCCTTTTCAGGACCAAAAGTGCTTTCCTTGTAATGAGAAGACCTTAAATCTAAGTCTGCATGGAAACTCCTTCTAGAATCTGTGAGATGTAGTCCGAGTTTGATATCATATTAACTTGTGTGTGTGTTTGTGTGTGTGTATGTGTGTCAGTATCACTATTTCATAGTCAATGTAGGATTTTCCGGGTCTTCAGTCTAACAATTCTGAAAGCTGCTCCACAGAGGACTGGGGAGGCAGAATGAGTCAACTTATCTATAAACTCTAGCAAAACTGTTGTTTTTACGGATTTTACAACTCAACTAACGCTCAAGATAGATCTATATAGAAACATTGTTTTAAGAAAAACTACCGAATCATTATTCGTTGCTATTATTCAATTTTCTCCAGATTATGTTTAGGCAAATGGTAAATTAATATATTAAACTTTCCATATCGTGGACTGTAAACTGTAAGCAACTAATTTCTGAAAAAATATATTCATTTATGACAACTAATTCTGAATTTGCATTTGATAGTATGACCACATGATCTGTCTTAGTTTGTTCATAGCAAACATACCTATATAGCTGGTTTGATTTATAATTTAAATATTGATAAAATTCTAAATTTTAATTGTTAAAGTTTTCCTTCTGAAAAGGAATTTATGTAATTTTTTGTTTGTTTAAAAGTAAACGAACACTGCTCATGATTTTATGAGTCGGATAAAGAAAAGTGGTTTGGGAAGCACCTCCTTTAACGGGCTGTGGAAAACGTGTTAGCTACTGTTTAGCAGCGTTATATACATTTTCCCTCTCAAAACGTGAGCTAGGGGACTTCCCTGGCAGTCCAGTAGTTAAGACTGCCTTCCAATGCAAGGGTTTGAGCCCTGGTCAGGGAGCTAAGATGCCACATGCCTCCTGACCAAAAAACCAAAACATAACACAGAAGCAATGTTGTAACAAATTCAATAAGGACTTAGAACAAAAAAAGTGAGCTAGGCCATCTGAGTGAATGGCGTTAGTGTTTGTTTTCCACCTGCCAATATGGTGGCCTTAAGAGATCCCTGTCAGATACAACAGATTTGGATTTGGATTTTAATCTACTTTACAAGGTAACCCTCCCAGATATCTGATTTTTAACTTTTAAATTTTAAAAACTAAGTAGTAATTAGGACAGGTTATCAAAAACTAGAAAAATTCTAAAGCTGAGATTTAATAACTGCATAACAGAAAAAATAGATTCCAGAAGTATAAATCAGCAGGTGTGCTACAAGGTGAAGCTTTATGTTAAGGAATGCATGTTTAGATATTTACTCTCAGCACCTATGAAAAAGGAATTGGTTTGAGAACATTAAAATTATAACTATCAGTAAGAGAATGAAATTAAGTTTAAGTTTTTAAGACTAAAGAAAAGTGGGACTTCCCTAGTGGTCCAGTGGCTAACTCTGCGCTCCCAATGCAGGAGGGCCGAGTTCAATCCCTGGTCAGGGAACTAGATCCCTCATGCTGCAACTGAGTTCACATGCCGCAACTGAAGATCCCAAATGCCTCTACAAAGATCCCGCATGCCACAACTAAGATCTGGCCCAGCCAAATAGATAAATAAATAAATAAATATTTAAAAACTAAAGAAAAGTTTTCTGGCAGTACCTCATAGTTGGAATTTTTATTCCTTAGTTGATAGTTCAGCAGGGACTCTATTTAGTAACATGGGGAGACATTATAAGATATCTAAATAGCAAATCTGTGTGTACTTCTTTTATTGTTGTTCTAACCAGGACTTCCCTCCTCTCACTTTTCATTCACAACACATCATGTCATTGAGTTCATTACGCAAAGCATTTAGAACAATACCTGGCACACAGAGGGCACTGTTACTGTTGGTGCTGTAACCATCTAGGATCAGGATGCCCTGTATATCTCGACACCCTAAAGGGCTACGTGTGCGTCTAGAGAGAGCAGACAGAGATTTATTACAGACAGTACTGCATCAGTTAAGGGACATGTCACCGTGGGGGGTGAACTGACCTCTGAGTAGGGTGACCAACTTATCCCCACCTGCCTGGATGCTCCCAGTTTGGGTACTGAAAGTTCAGAGAAATCCCTCAGTCCTGAGTAAACTGGTACAGCTGGTAACTCTACCTTGGATCCCATTTCTTCATCTTTAAAATGCAGGTAAAATAAACCCTACATCGTAAGAGTATTATGAGGCTTAAATGGGGAAATACGTGAACATAGGAATGTATCATACCAGCTAAGAGCATGGCGCTCGGCCCTCAGGTATCGCCCTAGCTCTTTTCACCTAACTAGCTCCCTGCCTTGGCCAACTTACTTAAGCTCTCCATGCCTCGGTTTCCTTTTAGGCAAAACGAGATACTACCATTTACCTTGTAGGATGGTTGAGAGTTAAAATGCATGTCAGCTGTGCACAGCTGAGTAAGCACTAAATAGATCCTTATCATTGTCGTTAAAATACTCAGCCCATTTCCTAGCAATAGTAAACTGTGGATAAATGTTTATTATCTACTAGGAAGGTCTGTTTAAAAACAATGTAAAAACTAGGTTAGTTTTGGGGCTGTTTTTTCTTTTCTTAATTGGTCGGGGTTGTTGCTTTCTTTAGTGAACTCTTAGAAAGTTGCACATAATCATCATATGTGAAGAGCTGTTGGAAAAGGGTAACAGGAGGTGGGCGACTGCCCTCCCTGGCCACACACCCCTGGGAACTCGGGGGCAGAAGAGCAACTGTCTACTGCAGGCCTGGCCCAGCTGCTGCCCAACTACAGCACAGCGTAGGATTTCCAGAGGTCTTATTTCAATACTGAATGAAGAACCAGAACCACATGGCTTCTGCAAGGGAGACTGAACCGGCCTGAGCCTGAGGGAGAGGATGATGTGTCCACAACACCAGGGAGGCCAACTGACAAGTCTCATATGAGCAACAGCCCTTTCCTGAGAACCACCCAGACCAGGAATTCCTGGGAGAGCTCCTTGGCCCGGGAATGCCAGTCCAGTGCGGTGGTGCAGAAGCCTAGTTTCTGTGGTTACCTGGTGGTACGTGGATGAGGGTCTTCTGGCCCCTGTGGGCTTTTCAGGACCGGCCTGGCCTCTTCACTGATTGGCTATGTTTTGTTTGATCTCATTGATGAGGGTGAAGGGGGAAGAGTGGGCGGACACCACCTATACCATGTAGTCTTCAAGCTACTGTGGTACCAACACTGCCCTTGTACCCAGCACTGTCCTCGACACGGCCACCTCTGCTGTCTGCCTGCCCTCATGCCAGCCCTGTGGCCCACATCACAGAAACTGAAGGCAGGTACTCCTGCCGTTGTGTCGGACTCCGAGGCCTACTGTCCTCGAGAGCTGTAGGGTCCACACTCAGCCCTTCCTACTTCATTCGCCTGCAGCTTTCTAGAGAAAACATTCATGGGCCTTAGGACAAGGTGAAATCAAAGCCAACTTGCTTCTCAGCTGAGTTGCTAAGGCAAAATCCGACAGACTGAGATTTGCTAGCAGTTTCACTCTGGAAGCAGCATGCTGAGGGATGCGTGGGAGAGCAGTGATCAAAAGAAGAAATAACCAAAGGTGTGGGTGGTGAAGGTGCTTATCCTGTTATTTGGTGGATGAAAAGCTTTCTGGAGCACTCCTGAATTACTGTCTCTCATTTATTAGTCACTGTAACAAATGAAGTGATGTGGTTCCTAGTTATTAAAAAATAACACATCCGAAACAAGGATGTGTTAACAGAATTCAGAAGCTAAAATAGTATCCTACATTCTAATTTGTCTTTCACTGAATAGACTTCAAATATGTAATCTGGGGGGGAGAGGGTAGGAGAAGGGAGGCTTTACTACGTGCAGCAAGGAGAACACGGAGGATCTTTCCTAAGCAGTGTCTCCAAATATGAAATATTTTTAGAGTTCATGCTACATAGATTACAAAATTTTTTAAAGTATACAATTATTCGTAACCGTGGTAATAAAAAGGATTGTCTCCTTTCCTTCTCAATTTCTAATCTTTTAATGGAGTAGTTTAAAAAACCTCCACCACTATTAATCTATAGTTTAGTTTTTCATTTTCAAATTATACATAGGGACTTCCCTGGCAGTCCAGTGGTTAGGACTCCACGCTTCCACTGCAGGGGGCACAGGTTCGATCCCTGGTCAGGGAACTAAGATCCCACATGCCGCACAGCAGAGGCAAAAACAGTACTAAATTTACTCATTTTTTACATTTGCAAGAACTCCCATGTACTTTTTGAAGCTCAGCTTATATCAAATTTTGATCCATAAGCCTAAAACATTATTTAATAACCAGTAACTAGCGTAGTATAAAAAGACTCCACATCGAAAGCTGAAATACAATTAGAAATCAGAATTCCTTCATCACAGTGGTTCTCCTCAGGGGCTGATGCTGCCCCACAGGGACACCTGGCAGGGACACATTTGCCAGCCCGGGGGGCCCGGGGGGTGGGTGGAGGTGCCACTGACTTGGAGGGTAGAGACCAGGGATGCTGCCCCGATCCTGCAGTGGACAGGACAGTCACCCGAGCAAAGAATGATCAGGCCCCAATGCCAACAGAACCCCTAACGTGCACAACTGAAGGGAGGGTCAAACCATGCACACGGCAAGCTGCGCCGTTCAGCAGGGCACAACCTGGAGAATGGCCGACTCCCAGCCGCTGCCAGACACGGCAAGGATCTCTAGCCACATCTATTTTGTGACCCTGTAATTAGCCCTTTTGGGTTGTGCTTATTTTCACAATGACAAGTAATGTTTTTTAGAAAATAAATATGGTATCTACTTCTACGTTTAGATTGTTCCTGAGTCACCATGATGTTTTAACAGTTAAAAGAATTAAACAGTTCTACTTGCAGTGGTGTAACAAGTTTTAATTCAAAATAGACACTCTGAAAACAATAGGTAAAAAAAAAATAAACTTGAACAAGCTCTTTGAATTTACAACAGAGCACACCAACAATCACACACCAGTTTCACGACTGCCTCAAAAACGCACATTACAGCAATGACATGCAGCTATATTTCAAAAATCCATACGGTAACATTATCTTATTTCCCAGAGACTGTCTTATCTTCTGAGTATGTTGCCCAGGTGCCTCTGCTGTGTATCACCAGCACTACGACTTAAGGTCTAAACTGGATGGTCTCCATTACTGCTTCTGGTGCTTTAAGTTATTTTATATTGTGTGAAAAAACTGAGGCTTAGCTGTCCAAAGGACAGTAATACACTTGAGCTCCTTAGCAATACCCCATCCCAGTAACCTGGACAGCTAGGCCATGGGAAAGCCCTTTTCCCCAAAATGAATACATTTACCTCTAGGAAACTGTCAGAGATTTAATACACCAACCAGGAGACTAGCTCCAGTCTACTCATTTCACCCTGACCCCTGAAAACCGGTGTTTAAATTTCAGTTAGTAGCCACACTCAGGGGTCAACATTTCATTCCTGAGTAACACGGTCCTTCCCTTTCACTGGTTTATGAACAGTTAGGTTAGGAGGAGAGCTTGTGTGTGTGTTTTCAGTGTTTGTTCTAAAGGCACTAAAGATTTATTGTCATATCTTTGAATGGAGAAAAGACTTATCAGCGTATCAAAAAGAGGGGAAAAGTCTACACTGAGAAGTATTTTTGTACCTACAGAATTACTTTTATTTGTAAAATAACTCTTGACTTATGAGCTTTAATACCAGACTTCAGGTTCAGTATATTTTTAACAAATGAAAACATTTGGTTTTCTGAGTTACAATCAAAAACAGCTGTTAGGACAAACCTGAAAAAACGTAAATCGAAAGTATAATCTAATAAGCAAATACCTTACAAGAAGAAATCAGCATAAGTTAATGCAGTGCATCCTTAAGGAACCAGACATGTCACAGGGGCTTCTACTCACTTCTCTAAACATTTACTGTATCATCTGCTGCTACTTGTGAAGCTGAGGGAGAGCAGTTTTAATTCGCAGTTAATCAAGTATTCTGAAACAAGCTGAAATTTCCTTAAATGAAAAACAAACATATATAGATTTCAGTTTTTATCATACGATACTGACACTACTGGGAAAACAAGGCATGCATGAAATATCAAAAGATTTAATTTACATGACAGAGGAAAAAATGAAAAACAACTGTTACAAAATCAAGCTGCAGGAAACAATAAATTTGAAAGAACTATTCAGTTCTTTATATAAAAGTCTTTCTGAGCACCTGAAATAAATCTAAAGAGCAGCATAAAGACCACTGAAATTGATTAGTTCAACATACAGTGAAGAAAATAACATTTTTAAAAATCTCAATTGAAAAAGACTACTAAGTATCTAGTACTTTAGATTTCCTAATTTTTTTTTACAAGTTTTGTGGTTCATAGTCAAAGTTCAATCTGTGTTTAACATTTTTAAGTTCAGACATATCAAAGCCTAAAAGTACAGAAGGCTTGTGATTTTTTATTGCTTTCATGCAAATATACCTTCTTTTTCCAAAAAATGAAGCCACGTCAATTTTCCACACCCATAAGAGTGAGGATAACAGTTCTATTTCCTTTTTACTGGGATATGGTCTCTTGTGGAAATAATCTCTAAGAAACTGCTTTTTTTCTTCGTAAGAACGGTCTTCATATCTTTTAGGATTTAACGCTAAAACCTGGAGAGCGTCGTCGTGAACAAGGGGCGCCTCCGTCCTGCTTTCGCTCCTCTGTCTTTTAGAAGGCACGGCGCTCGTCGCCTTCTCCGGGGATGGCTCTCTGTCAGCGCTCGTGGGGACAGGCCGCTCCTCGCCCTCCCTCTGCTCCTCAGCCCCAAACTGGCTGTCAGGCATCTTTCTCTTTACAGAAAAACTGGAGTCGTGTATCACCTCACCATTGACTAAAAGCAGTTCACTGTTCTCAATAAAATTAGGCTGGACCTGCAGGCCTGAGCTGCTGTCCTTTGGAGCACTCCGACAGCGCAGCAGGTGTATGGCAATGGCTGCCAGAGTCATGTTGCCCGTGTAAACCCCACAGCAGTGGATGCACTTGAAAGCCGGGGATTTCAAAATCGTGTGCACCGTTGGCATGATGTGGTGCCGCTCCTTCAGATGCAGCTCGTACGCCTCAGCCGTCACGAAGGTGCCGAAGCAAAAAGGGCAGGTCAGCGCCTGGTTGCCAGGCCTCCCGGGCGCACCCTCGGTCTGCGGCCTCACTTTGATGTACACGGGCACCAGTGACTTGGAGTGTATCCCAGCCAGCACGGCCAAGTAGACCTCCCGCTCACCCAGCTCCTCCCTGGGCAAGATGGTGATGAAGTCGAGGTGGGGAAACAGCAGGCTGCCATTGGCATCGACATCCAGCTGAAATCCTTTGTCGCTATAGTCCACGGGCAGTCTCCTCTTCCCTAGGTGCATAACCCTACTATGCTCTGAGAGGCCTTTAATATCATGGAAAGTGCACGGGCAGAACAAGCACCCCAGGCCGTGCACCAGCAAGTGGCGGATAAGCTCCTCCTCTGAGACTAAGCACTTACAGGACAAACACCGAACTGTTTTCTCTCTCATCCACTTTAGAAACGGTGCACATGCCGCCAGCTTTTCCGGCTCCAGTGTTTCAGCGGATTTGGATTCGCTGTGCTTATGTGCCACTTCCATGTGGACCTGGTAGACATTGGAAGGGAAGAGCTCGTTGCAAACTGGACAGGTTTTCCACTGCTTTGCCTGTTTGAGCACCTGATTTGCCTCTGCCACAGACGAAGAAGGCTGAACGAACATATTCTGAGTGGCATTTACCACCACTGGTGGGGAGGGCAGGCTGGCCATGGAGCTGGCCATCTGTGCAGCCGTGCCCGACTGCAGGAGCTGGATGGGCATCTGGGGGGGGGCAACAGTGGCGACACTTCCAGGGGGCACAGGCAAAGTGACAGATACTGGGGCAAGTGTGTATGTGGGAATCCCATTCACTTGTTTCCCTGTGGGTATCAGCTGTCTGAGAATAGAGCCTGATGTTAGGAAAGCGGTGTTTGGCGAAGCCCCGGGTCTGATGGGCTGATGAGCAGGCAGGATGTTGGTACTCACAGACTGATTAAGCTGCAGGACCCCCGGCCTCACTGGCTGGCCCACAGGAAGGACCCCTGACACGACAGGCTGACTGAGCTGAAGAACACCAGAGTTAATACCCTGGTTCACAGGGAGAACACCTGACGAGACCGTCTGGTTGGGAGGAAGGAGCCCAGGTGGGACTACCTGGCCTGCAGGGAGAACCCTCAGTGGGACCGTCTGGCCAGGAGGGAGGACCCGCGGCGGGACTGTCAGCCCAGTGGGGAGCACCCCCGATGGCGCTGTCTGGCCAATGGGGAGAACCCCTGACTGAACCACCTGGCCAGCAGGGAGAACCCCAGAAGTTGCTGTCTGTCCTGAAGGGATAACCCCAGCAGGGGTCATCTGTCCCGCAGGAAGGACCCCTGACGGGACTGTCCGACTCACAGAAATCACCCCTGGCGAGACCGCCTGAAGAACTCCAGGGGTGACAGAGGGATTGACAGGAAGGACACCGGACACAACAGGTCTATTTACCGAGAGAACTCCAGGCCCAACTGGTCTGCTTATGGGCCCAACAGGCTGGCTGAGCGGCAAAACCCCCGGGCGGATGGTCTGCTTTATGGGGAGGACGCCGGTTCCGACCGACTTATTTACAGGTCCCACTGGCTGACTCAAGGGCAACGCAGGAGGGTTTGCTGCCTGATTAAGTGGAACTCCATGAGAGAGAAAGACAGGCTGAGGTGTTGAGGGCGGCAGAGTAAGGTTGCTCTGGCCCACTGGCAGAGGACTGGAGACCAGAGTCACATGAGACTGGGCAACGGCAGGCGGGGAGTGGGTGAGGCTTCCAGAAGCGCCCGAGGCCCCAGTCACCGGGGGGGGTGCACCCTGAACTGGCTGTACCACAGTTTGGCTCTGACTGTTCTGTGGCAAGGCCAGGTGGAAGCAAGGAGATGTGGCTGGGATGCCCGGAGCACTGCTGTTGGGTGGTACAGCCACACGTGCAGCTGGTTTTGGAGCAATATGCATTTGCTTCAAAAGTCCAGTCTTCTTAATATGTTCTGAGATCACAGACCTAAGCTTATTCTCCAAATCCCTGTGTATATCCGACGTCAAGATGTGGTACATTAAAGCATCCTGGCTGCTGGCGTTGGCGCTGCACTTTTTACAGTAATACCTGTCGGATGGGGGCATCTTCTCTGTAGAACGGGGGTCGTCAGCTCTTGGTTGCTCACCCATCTCCTCAGTTCTCAGGCCAAAGTAGGAATTAATTAAGTAGTGAAAATGGGCTACCAGCACATGCTTCTTCATGCTGTAGTACAGAGTGTTTGAAAAGTTACATTTTAAACATGTAAAACTTATCACATCACTCCTAGATGATTTAGTTTCACCTAAAATATTCACAGTGTAGTTCTGGACTTTCCGAGCAGGTGCATGAAACATTCTGAAGTGCCTCCCCACAACTCTGGGTTGAGAGGAAAACACACAGTTTGGACAAGGGATCACCAGCTCTTGGTCAATTTCATCTTCATGGTAACGATGTAAATGATTTTTGAATGAAGTAAGCACTTTTGTGGAGTATTTACAGAGGCTACAACAGTATGGTTTTGTTCGATATCTCTGTTAAAAGAAAAGAAAGTCAAGCATAGTTTAATAAAACTACCAGATGGTACACCTTCTACAGTTGACAAGTATATGATTCTTTTTCTTCTAACTGGCTAGATCTAGTGCTGTGTTGTAAGGGAAAAGTACCCACAGATAACGTGTAAATAACACTAGAGACCCTAATTCAAATTTTCACATGTCACAAAACAGTATTCTTTTCAATTTCTTTCCTTCTCAAACATTTAAAAATGTAACAACTATTCTCAGCATGTAGGCCATACAAACACAGTTTGGCCCCAAAATCACAGTTAGCTGAACCCTGTTTCCAAGCCAGCCATTAAACCACAAATCTCATTACTTAGTCCTATACTTTGAATTGATGCAGTCCTAACTGCATTAATTAAAATAAACTCAATTTTCTGCACGAAAAAGTTATTGTCTCCCCTTCTCATCCCACTTCTCTTAGTTCCAATGCTGTTTTTACTCCAAATTCTAAAACTTCTGGAATTTATCTAATATAACCAAACTTGCAAATTGTTAACCCCATCATCACTGTCTTCCATTTCCCAGATTCCTGGAGAAGGCAGGAGACACACAGACAGCGCATGGCACAAGCAAGTAGCCAATAAACCGTGCGACAAGCACTGAAGAAAGAGGGACTGTGCCTAACTCACTGTGAATAATCCTGAGGTAAGTTCAGGCCACAGACTGTAACTCTGACAGTACGGTATTTCTTTGTAAGGCAAATACGGGAAATTCAACAAGCTTGGGGCACAAGAACAGACATTTGTACAGCAGCTGGCCAACTGAGGAGCACAGTCTGTTCTAGCATCCAGGAAACCTTGCTGGTCTGACAACCTGGAGCAGTATGACAGCCTCCGGACCCCAGAGCTGGTGCCCCAGGAAACACGGGCCCTAGTTTCACAAAGGAGGGAGGTTAAGGTGCGGACAGGTTAAACACTGGGGCAGAGGCCTTCCCGTTCTGCAACCCTTTTTCCAGCTACTGCAGTGGCCACAGGCCACCCCGCTCCTTCCCAGATCTGTGCTCTCGTGACCGCTCTCTCTCATACACACATACGCATACTCCCCTCCAGTGGGTTTTGTCACGTTCTCTCCTAGTCATGCAGTTTTCCTCTTGGGTCACTGGTCAGAGAAATCACCCAAACTCATTCAACAACATGTTACTACTGCCTTCCCAGCAATTAGAAATCCCGGGTTCTGGCACTTCAAGGAGGATCTATAATAAACCTAGGGCAACAGCCAACCACAGATCACAAAGTAAAAAAACATTTTTCACTAATTCTGACACACTCTTCCCCCCATATTTTAATATCTCTGAAATCTGAAAACACCTTACAACTGACAGTTCAATGCTGCAACACAGCTTAAGTGTGAAGTATTACTTTAGTTTCATTAGTGGTTCATTTTAAAATGGTGCATCTTATACTCCACAAAATGCTGTACTGAAAAACCAGATACTTAATGAAAATTACACCGAATTAAAGAGTCAATAGCACTTACTAACAACTTGTTACTATCTGTTAGTATTGAACAGATCTTTGGGTTAAGAAAAGATTTCTTAAATATGACACCATAAGTATGATCCATAATAGAAAACAATGATAAACAGGACTTCATCAAAGTAAGAAATCTGCTCTTTGAAAGACACTGTTTAAAAGATAAAAAGACAAACCACAGGCTAGGAGACAATATTTGCAAACCACATATCTAATAAAGGACTTGTGTCCAGAATCATTTTTGTGGACATGTTAAAGTCTCAGTAAGAAAACATATAACCCAATTTTTAGAAAACTGGCAAAACATTTTAAGCATCAAATACTTTAAAGTAAAGAGGGTATCCAGATGCCAAACACACAAAAAGATGCTCAACATCATTAGTCACTAGGGAAATGCAAACTAACACCAGAGCAGATACCACTACAAACCTATTAAAATGGAAAATAAATAGTAAGTCCATAAGCACAAAATCCCTGACAAAATGTTCAGAGAAAAACTTGTATGTGAAAGTTCTAGGACAGTGACCAATCAGAAACAATTTGAGCGTGAGACCTTGGTTCACTGTAACAGAGTTAGAAAAAATAACCAAGGAGAGAAGCCGAAAAGAAGGGGAGTCAGGTGTTCTGGGTGCTGGTGGAAATCCTGTCCCTGTGATAGTCCCTGTCTCTCTGTCAGCCTAAGGCCTCGTCCTCAGGTCCCACAACAGCTGGGCTCCATCACCTGATATAACCTGAGCGTCTCAGTCCCAAACCCAAAAGTCCAACACATCTCACTTCTGTGCAGCATGAGCTACATAATCCAGCAGGGTCACACTTTTCTGCTATGGTGCCCGAAACTGTCTCTGTTCACATATCCTATTACCCAGAGACAAATTAAAGCAAGAAGCTACCTACGGCACAGAGAGGGGTAAGGTACTAAAACGAGCAGACAACACAGCCTCCACCATGCCAGGCAACAGTGGTTTATTGGTTTTTTTTCTCAATATGGTATCTACTTAACAAATTCAATCTCCACTCTTTCATATTGTTATTTAACTTTTTATGCTAGGCCCTATTCACCCGAACAAAAACATAAACTCCCTGAGGAAAAGAACCCTAACTTTCACCTCTTTGTATCAAGCACTCAAAGTTTTACCTAGTTTGTAACAGGAATTCAAAATATGTTTATTGATGAAAAGCATAAATTATAAATTATATTGCATGTTATGTTACAGAATCTTTTAAGAATTCGGATGAGAAAAATCAGGGAGGCCCAAGAAAATATTCACAAAGCCAAGGTCTTCAAAACAAGGCATATTTGAATAGCTATGAGCTGTTCTGAGCAGAATAACCAAATCAAAGCAGTTTCAAGGAACCCTGTATCTGTGGGTAGAGAGGGGAGTTTCGGGTTAAGGAGGATAAGAGACACAAAACAGGGCAGAAAGCAGGACTCAGGAGGACAAGGTGACAACGGAAATTTTTTTAAGTAAAATTCTGACGGAGAAATGACTCACTGGCTACAGGAATTTGTTGTTAAAGCCAGAATTCCCAAGGTCAACACGGTCTGGCCAAATGGGGGTGGGGAGCGGTGAGGGGAGGCAGTGACGTCATATCTGTGACGTGCTGGTTTGACGCTGATGAAGGTGCTATAGGTCCAGTGGCTGGGGGGCAGGAAGGGTGTTCCAGAAGAAAACACTTTAAGAAGGAGTATTCAGCGGTATGTCACATATTTTAGCTCGAATCTGCCTAAGTGTGAGGCTTCAAAGTATTATAAACTGTGTTCCTCGATTCAAACTCCATATTCTTATTTTAATTTTTGAAACCAGGATGTACCTTCATTACATATAAAGTCATGACATTTCTTTTTACTGAGAATAGTTATATAAATCAGAAGCCCTTCTTACATCAGAGACATATAATAATCAAGGACAAATAATAGTTTCACTACATCACTTTACCAACTTGATAGGCGGAAAACTCTCAAAGCATCAATAATCCTATATCACAAAACGTTTAACTTTGTTTTTCTTTCTACTTCCCTGAATATTTACACTACACCTCCTCCTCCTCCCATTCATTCATCTGCAACCCCAAAACATATGATGTTCCTCAGAACTAAATTGACACTTACCCCCAAGTTCTTAGGAAACATGAAAATCAAAAATGAAAATACATACCACTTTCTTTCCAGAAGGTTCCCAGAGAGAAATATCTCCCCATGATGTGTTATAAAAGTACTTCTCTCCTGGATCAAAGCCTTTAAGGTCCTTTTAAAAAGGGAGAAAAAGAGAGATTATTACATAATTTCAGAAGATAAAGAAATATTTAATTAGAACCTGATGGGATTACTTGGCACCTAAGAAATCTACTTGGGAAGAGTGAAATGAAAATGCAGCCCAGGGCAAGTTGTGACAGAGTTCCCATCAAGTTGGAGACCTGGGGAAAATGTTGAAATAATCCAAGTTAATATTACAGTTTTTGTACCTCAGCAGCGGCCTTTTAATTTATACCAAGTACTTACTGAGTTTACACTTGAATAATAAATGAATATGTCTTCCGAGTTTTTACAGTGTCTTAAATTCAATGCACATTTTTTTCTTCCTTTCCCATCCTTTCTTGATTGTAGTTCATTAAACCATCCTATTACAGAGCTGATTTCCTTCCTGGCCGTACTTGTTAGGGTGCTGGATTTTTTTCCATGTATTTAGTCTTCCGTAAATTCAAAAATATATATAAATATATATATATATTTTTTAAAGTTACAGTTTTATAAGAAATAAACAGATGAGATTTCCACAAGTAAGTTTTGAAAGACAGAAACTGCATGAGCAGACACTGTCTTCCATCAGCGCGAGCACCACGGAGAAGAGTGTCAGGGTGGGGAGTGACGTAGGGGCTCAAGTGTGTGGCTAACAACACCACAGGGACGGCAAGACGGAAAGGGACGTGACTCTGAGACACTAAAGCCAGATGCAGCAGGGTTCAGACTGAATTCCGCTTCAAAGAGACAGAGTGTGAAAAATATCTGGGGGCAACTGGAGAAATCTGAGTATGGACTGGGTATTAGATAGGATGAACGTTTAATGACACAGAAAGATGAAGGTAACTGAAAAAGCATGCAATAAAAAAGAGTGACCGCTATGAGCTCACTGTGGTAAATACTACACGCATTTACATGTTTACACACAGAGAAAGCTAAATCTCTGAACGCAGGCACGTGGCATTTCATATTTAATATTTCATATTTCTATTTTCTAAAGAAATGATAACCTGTACTTTCTAACTTTCACAGTATATATTACTGGGTTTTTTAAATAATTAAAGACTATTTTAATATAAAATAAAGAATTAGTTAAGCCAGAGAATGACAATTAATATCACATCTGCCTTGGACTATACCTAGGCTAATACATTGCTACCAGGTCAATTCAGAACTAGAGAAAAGTGCAAATTATTACAAGGATTTAAATTGGATATGGGGCTTCCCTGGTGGCGCAGTGGTTGAGAGTCCGCCTGCCGATGCAGGGGACACGGGTTCGTGCCCCGGTCCGGGAGGATCCCACATGCCGTGGAGCGGCTGGGCCCGTGAGCCATGGCCGCTGGAGCCTGTGCTCCGCAACGGGAGAGGCCACAACGGTGAGAAGCCCGCGTACCGCAAAAAAAAATAAAATAAAAAAAAACTGGATAGAACACTGCTTTTATTGTGAGGTTTGTAACATATATAGAGGTAAAATATATGACAACAACAGCACAAAGGCTGGAAGGGGAAATGAAAGCATGCTGCTGTATACTATATGTGAAGCAGTATTATATGAGGAAGGTACCCACAAAGTATAGCTAATAAGCCAGAAATGGAGATAATATGTAATCATAAAAATATTCATCCAAACGAAAGCAGAAAAAGAATAAAAAGAACAAAGAACAGATAAGATAGGTAAAAAGAAACAGTGAGATGGGAGATTTAAACCCAATCATGTCAACAATCACATTAAATAACAGGGGCTGGTAAACTGTTTCTGTAAAGAGTCAGATGATAAATATTTAAGGCTTTGACAGCCATGCAGTCTCTGTTTGATACAACTACTCAATCCCACCATTGTGCACAAAAGCAGCCATAGACAATATGTAAACACTAATAAGCATGGCTGTATTCCAAGAAAGTTTATTTACAAAATGGGCAGCAAGCCAGATTTGGCCCATGGGCCATAGTTTGCCTACCTCTGGTCTAAACACTCAAATAAGAGGTAGAGAATGTCATATTGGGTTAAAAACCACGATCCAATTATATGCTGTCTACGAAAGTCTCACTTCAAATACAAAAACAGCAAATTTATCAATGCCTGCAACTTTCTTTGAAATGCATCAAAAAATAAGATAAAATGATGAGTGTAGATACATATTCATGTTAATTTTGTAGACTTTACGTGGTAGGTACATGGGTTTTCACAGTACAAGACTTTCAGTATCTCTGTAGGCTTAAATTTTTCATAAGAAAATACTGGAAAAGGAAGAGGGAAGCAGTAATGTTCTATGACAGGCGATGAGAAGGGTTTAAAGGAAAGAGTGCTTTCCATTGTCAGATGCAGGAAAAAAAGAGCTAGTAAGAAAAAAACCACAATCATTAGGAAATAAATGGATTAAGAATATTTCAATATATTTTTGTACATAAGATGTAGAAACATAGGTTAACACATTTTTAAAAATCTGTTTGTACATATATAGGTCTCAGAAGATTGACATGGGGTGGGTTCAGTGCACTCTTTTTGTTTAAGCTTCCCTAATTTAGATGCAGCAACCCCAAATTTGTAAACATTGGTTGAAATGTTCTCATCTAATCTGTAACTCGATGCAAAGAAGTGCACTAGTTGCCTCAGAAATGGCAGCTCTGAGCAGAACAGCACAGAAAGGAACGTGGTGCAGTGCAGTGAGAAGCAAGAGCTAGAGTAGTCAAGCTTTTGCACCAAAGGCAAGACTGGGAGGAAAAAAAGGCTTACAAGGTAATAACCCACAAGGTGACAAAAAGGCGAAAATGATCATGGATCCAAACTTCTACTAGACAGTCAACATTAATTCCTTCTATCTCTAACTCCCTCAATAAATCTGATAGATACTTTGACACTCTAACCTAGGGACCTTCTTTTTTTAATCCCCTTTTTCCCTACCGCTTCTTCAAAGCTTTCTGGCCTCCATGTGACAGTATTTGTATCTCTGATAGCTGTTAATTGAGAAAACAGAGGATGACAAAAGCTGATAGGAAGAGTAATACTTTTAAATAAATTTGGATAATATTAATCACCTCAGTATCTATGAACATTTGATATATAACAGTAATTTAATGGGAGAGATTACTTTCAATTCTCAGACAATGCTTCATTTGAATTTGCAGCCACCAGAGAAATTGTAGTACTCCCTAATAACTTCATGATTCCTCAAGGGTCCACATCATACATTAGAAATCTCTCCTCTAAGCAACACACACATCATACACAGAAAGAACATCCAATGTCTCTTCCACTTTCCCACTGATTACATGTGTTTTTTTGTTTTTTTTAATCAAGCAACCCAGTACTAGTTTCCTCTACACTTTAATGAGATTCAAGGGATGGGCCTGCCTAACGAGGCTGACCAAGCAATGAAAAGGATGGTCAGGACCGATCCCTGATGTGGGTCCAGCACACTCAAGACATGCCACATACTCTCCTAGTGTGAGTTCTGAAAAAAAACTTCTTTTAGGGTTTTACATGGGGAAACCTGAGTAAAATAATGAAGGTAATCGAAAACACACTAAGGGCAAGTGCAGAAGAAACTAACACACCATTGTAAAGCAATTATACTCCAATAAAGATGTTAAAAAAAAAAAAAAGAACAGAGTTGGAGAGCTCACACTTCCCAATTTCAAAACTTATCACAAAACTAGGGTAATCAAAAGTGTAATACTAACATAAGGATAGACATAAAGATTAATGGACTACAATTGAGAGTTCAGAAATAAATCCATGCACCTATGGCCAAATCATTTTCTACAAGGCCGCCAAGTCCATTCAATGTGGGAAAAATTAGTCAAATAAATGGCACTGGGACAACTGGATTTCCACATGCAAAAGAATAAAGTTAGACCCCTATATCACACCATATACAAAATTAATTCAAAACAGATCAAAACCTAAACAAAAAGAACTACAACCATAAAACTCTTAGAAAAAAACAAAGGAGAAAATCTTCTTGGCTTGAATTTGGCAATGGATTCTTAGATACTACATAGAAAGCATTGCAAACACAAAAATAAATTGGACCGGGCTTCCCTGGTGGCGCAGTGGCTGAGAGTCCGCCTGCCGATGCAGGGGACACAGGTTCGTGCCCCGGTCAGGGAAGATCCCACATGCCACGGAGCGGCTGGGCCCATAAGCCATGGTCGCCTGAGCCTGCACGTCCGGGGCCTGTGCTCCGCAACGGGAGAGGCCACAACAGTGAGAGGCCCAGGTACCGCAAAATAAATAAATAAATAAATAAATAAACAAATAAATTGGGCCTCATCAAAATTTAAAACTTTTGTGCATCAAGATATTATCAAGAAAGTAAAAATGGGAAGAAATATCTACAAAACATATCTAATAACGGTTTAATATCCAGAATACATAAAAAACTACAACTCAACAACAAAAAGACAAACAATCCAATTTAAAAATGGGCAAAAAAGTACAATAGGCACATGAAAAGATGCTCAACATCATTAGTGGCCACAATGGCGAGGGAGGGAGAGACTGAAAGAGAGAACAAATGTTAGCAAGGCTGTGGGTAAACTGGACCCCTCATGCACGGCTGGTGGCAACTGAAAAAGGTGCAGCCACTGTGGAAACAGTTAGGTGGTTCCTCAAAAAGCTAAACAATTATTACATGACCCAGCATTTCTCTGAGGTATATACCCTAAAACTGAAACAGGGACTCAAACAGATACCTGTGAGGCAAAGTTCACCACAGCATTATTCACAACTGCCAAAAGATGGAATCAACCTGTGTGTATCAACAGATGAACTGATAAAATGTGGTATATGTCTACATAATGGAATATTACTTAGCCATAAAAAGGAGTTAAGATTTTGACACATGCCACATTGAAAACATTAAGCTAGTGAAATAAACCAGTCACAAAAGGACCAATACTGCATGATTCCACTCACATGAAATATTTTTAATAGGCAAATCTATAGAGACATAAAGTAGATTAGAGGTTATCAGAGGCTGGGGTGGGACATGGGGAGTTACTACT